AAAAAAAAAAAAAAAAAAAAAAAAAAAAATTAGGTTCTAGGTATCTTTTTGTATATTCTCAATTAAAACTAACGAGTTAAGTAGTAGTATCCCTTGATACAGATTAGGGCTTCAAGGCTTAGATAAGTTCACAAGGTTTGTAAATAGTAAATCAAATCTACACCTAAACTTAAATTATATTTACCTTTAGACAACACTGCCTCAAGTTCATGTGAAAACAGGCTAAGGTTTTGTCCTATGAAGTATGCGATTATATATTCTTAACACTAATCAAAGGAGAGAATTAATACCATCAGACGAATCAGCAGCTTCAGAATAGCACCCATGTTAAAAATGTATGTTTTCCTGAAGTCAGAGTAAACCTGAATGGGCCGTCAATTTTAAATTATAACTGAGGTAGAGCGGGGTATTTTATCTAGAGAAAAACACAAGACCAGGTTTATTTCATACAATGTTATTCACACATTTTTCATTTTCTAATTTATACATAATATACAAAGAAGTGAAGTTAAACATTATTTCATATGAACCAATTAAGAGCCAGGACTTAAGACAAACTGGTCCAGAAACAACCCATATCAAAAGGAGACACTCGAGTAAAGCCTAGGTAGTTTAGCCCAATTGTTTCTTTATTCTGAAATGTCATTTTCAGATTTTACCAAAATTTCATGCCAACTTACTAAAAGGTAAAAAATTGGGGTGGGCACCCAAAATGGCAGACTGTAAAATTTCTACAAGAAGTTATTTTCGTAGAGCAGGCCTGAAAGTATTGTGAAGATTGGGTTGTCAGCACTGGGACATGTGGGAATATTAGAACCCCATGAAGAGGGTTTAGTTTCTCAATGTAATATTCTCTAGTACTTGTCATTTTCTAAAATTGCAGAGATAATGCCTGTGCCAACAGACAGCAAGGATGAAGACTAGGAATTCAACTGTACAAAGACAGGAAAGTCATTACCAATCTGCAACATGACAGCTTTGATCCTGAAACCATGGGCTGATACTGAGAACAAAAGTCTAACATGGGCCGAAATACTCTTGAGGTTGGCAAAGTAGGAAAAAGTGAGAGCGCGGCTTTGTGTGGGTTAAAAAAAAAAAAAAAAAAAAAAAGGTGCTGCTACAGTGACTGGTACATGTTGATGACCCTGTGTGACTATTAGAAGGAACAGTGACAAGTGTTTGGATTTAATGGCCTCACCAAGGAATGTTGGGTTAGAAAACTAAAATAACACCAAACATGAAAAGGTATGCCTGGCATCCCCAAACTTTATGCCATTATTTTTAGGTTCATAATATGAACAACTAAGTGATAAAACCTTTAGATTCCACACTGTGCTCAGAAGATAGATTTTCTTCTACAGATCTCTAGTTAAAAAAAAAAATCTCTTCCATATTCAGCTGACAGAGATAGCATGTTCATTTTAGTTTTCAGCACTAAACATAAGTGGGTCAACATAAATGTTTATACAAAATACTGACTTCAACAAAATACAAAGCACTTTCTTTATCTTTCAGAAACTGAATATACACAGCAAGTTTTTTTCCAAAATATTTTCATAGGCAAAGGATTAAAAACGATTTTAATTATACACATATGGTCACAATTTTGCCTTAAAAAGATTGTTGGGAAATGTACATAAGGCCGCTTGTAAATGTACATCGTGTTACTGTTATGTCTTATGTCCAGAGAAAAAAATGTTATCATACAGATTTGCTCTTACTTGGGAGTAGGCTATTCAAAAATACAGTACTCTTCTGTACAAAGAAAAAAGTCACATCACATTTAATAAGATGAAAAAAGCATTGGCCTCTATGGTAACCAAATATCTCAGTCCAATACTTTCTGTTATGCACAATACCCTGACTTCAATTGAAAGTGATCCAAATTCTAGCATGTCCATATTAACAGTCAACAACTACGTTATAAAACAAAATGATCTCACAATAATAAAAAGAAAGCTGGTTCATACTTCTGAAACCATATAAAGATAAAAAATTTTTAAAAAATCACTCTCGATTTGGAGAAATAAATTTACATTATACAACACTATATTGCCAGGTCAAAGAGGGCAGGGACATAAATGTACACTAAAATGCAAATGTATCCCAAAGAGATAAAACAAATTCCATTTACAGCATGAAGGTTTACAAATGTACACCTGTACAACCAAGGAAAGCATCACTACTAAATTAAGCAAGGTTTTTATAATAAACATTGAAACAAGATTTCCTTTCAAAGTGTAAACTTACATCTATTACTACACACACAATGCATATATTTATAGAAAGCAAAAAGAGCTATCTGAATATGTAATCATGCTTAAATGCTGAGCTATCAAATTCACTTTTCAGTGGCCCCTTTTCACCTATCTGGTTCCTACTTTCTGCCTTTATGAAAAAGCAAAATAAAGCTCAACACTTCCTCAACATGTCTTTGTAATTCTATAAGCAAAACAAAACACAAATTTCCACTTTCTCATTGCAAACCAAACTGAAAAGTTAATATATGACTTAACTTTTCATTTAGTGCACTTAATTGGAAGTGTCACCATGATTTTGTATTTCTTAACTCTTACAACAATTACATATGTAAGTATATACAATATTTTTGTACATTGCCAGAGACATTTTAGGGCAGTATTTGTATTAAAACCACATCTACTGTAAATAATGTTAAGTTCTTTTCATCTCAAACCATTTTATTCTTGTCTTACTTGCTCATTATTTGCATGATAGTTTGTGAATTACCAAAATACAACTTAACTCTTTTTAAAATATTAATCATATTTATGCAGTTGATTGTTAATCTGTTATAAAAGGTCTCACACAAAGGAAAAAAATAAGGACTATAATTCTATATACATCTCTATAAACCTGTTGTGCTATGGGGTTGTAGACCTACCAGACTGTGAGCCAGTTTATTAAAAGAATACTGTACTTTTTCCTTTAAAAACTATTTTTGTGACTTTACAAGGTAAAAATTTACAAAATATGAGACAGCTTTTTATTTTTGATACAGTTACATCATATACAGGCATTCTGTGCTTTGCCAGCAATCCAATCTGATAGGTCTCCACTCAGGGCTGAATATAATTTATAATTCATCCCCCACCCCCCAAATATACACAAGAACCTTAAAAAATTTACAAATGGATGAATAAAGTCAATAAATAGTTTTGTTTTAAAAAAAAATTGAAGATTCATAGTTGAGTTGTGTTTTGATAATTCACACACACAAAAAATCTTTTCACATGGTTAAATTATCTTCTTTCTCTTGCTTCTGTAATTTACAGCATTCCATTTGGTGGTCCTCCAATAGGTCCTAGATCCGGGCTATTCTTCAAATAATACTTTTCCAGCTTGGCCAGTATATGCTTCCCGTATGTGTATTTGCGCAAAGTAGTAATGTGAGGTCGAATCTGAAAAACAAATAATCTGCTTAGCAAATCTAAGTCATTTTAGTTTCTGATTTCTTAAAAAATCACCCCTAAATCTGGGTAATTTAGAGGAATAACTGCAATTAAAAAAATCTAAATCCTAAGAAAGCTACTTTTTGTAAAAGCAGTTGTGATCCACTCAATCTTTCTAAACATCTGTTCTCGAAATGGTTCAATGAATAAAAAGGCACTACATCTAACTATGTCACATGCAAATAGGCGGAGGCCCCAAATATAGCAAGAAAGTTACCCAGTAATTCCACATCCAGGAATTTATTCTACTAAAAAAATTATGAAAAGACTTTTGTACAAAGCACTACTTATAACAATTCAACAATTAGGGATAATCCAATATGACAAATATGATAGTTAAATAATGTAGCTATTAAAAATAAGACTGCATTTTGTAATATTCATGAGTTTATAGAAAATACTAAATTAAAAGATAGGTAGAAACTTAGATGCCAGTAATTTGGGAGAATGAGATGGGAGGATCACCTGAGCCCAGGATTTTGAAACCAGACTGGGCAACATAGTGAGACCCTATCTCTACAAAATATAAACAAACTAGTGAGCTTGCGTGCCTGTAGTCTCAGCTACTAGAGAGACTAAAGTGGTAGGATGGCTTCAGCCAGGAGGTTGACGCTACAGTTAGCTGAGATCCCACCAATGGACTCCAGCCTGTGCAACAGAGATCTTGTCTTGAAAGAAAAGAAGAAAAGAAAAAGGAAAACTTACATCAAGTTGAAGAATGCATTTTAAAAATCAGAAGGCCAAAACACTTTTATAGATGGAAGGAATCTTAAGATATCAATTTTCTCTCTATATGAGGAGAGGACCAAAGGGGTTTATGTACTTTGCTCCATGTTTTGTAAATGAATACATTTAGAAAAAGATCCAAGGGTATTCAAAATAAAAGTTTCTTTCAGTGTTCTTTATAACAGTAAGTTTCCCTACTACAATTACTAATTTCTTAAAGAATTATTAGACTCGGGCCAGGCGCGGTGGCTCACGCCTGTAATCCCAGCACTTTGGGAGGCCGAGGCGGGTGGATCACGAGGTCAAGAGATCGAGACCATCCTGGTCAACATGGTGAAACCCCATCTCTACTTAAAATACAAAAATTAGCTGGGCATGGTGGCGCACGCCTGTAGTCCCAGCTACTCGGGAGGCTGAGGCAGGAGAATTGCCTGAACCCAGGAGGCGGAGGTTGCGGTGAGCCGAGATCGCGCTATTGCACTCCAGCCTGGGTAACAAGAGCGAAACTCCGTCTCAAAAAAAAAAAAAAATCAATGTTCAGCCCATGTATTATAGTAAATTAAACATAGTCTGCCATCTATATATGTGGATTCAACCAACCATTGGTCAAAAGCACTTTTTTCAAATGACAAAGTTTTTATTAAACAGATTTTTTACTTATTATTACAGTATGACTATTTACATAGCACTTACATTGCATTAGGTATCATAAGTGATCTAGAGATAAGTATATGGGAGGATGTGATTAGGATATATGCAAATACTATATGCCATTTTATATAAGGGACCTGAGCATCTGTAAATTTTGGCACAGGAGTGGGTGGGTCCTGCAGCCAATCCCCCACAAATACTGAGGAACAACTGTACAGTTAAATAAGATGAAGTCAAAAAGAACAATGTAAAACACAGATAACAGATGAGAAATGAATATGATTCCCTAAGAATTTCTTTTCAATGATTTTTTTGAGACAGGGTTTTTGCTCTGTTGCCTAGACTGGAGTGTACTGGCATGAACACAGCCCACTGTAGCCTCAACTTCCAGGATTTTCAGGCTATCCTCTCATCTCAGTTGCCTGAGTAGTTGGGACCACAGGCATGTGTCATTATGCTCAGCTAATTTTAAATTTTTTGTAGAGAAGGGGGTCTCACTATGTTGCCCAGACTGGCCTTGAACTCCTGAGCTCAAGCAGTCTCCCACCACAGCCTCCCAAGTAGCTGGGATTAAAGGCATGCACCACGATGCTAGTCTAATTGGTTTTTTTCTGGTAGAGCCAGGATCTTGCCACGTTGCTCAGGCTAGTCTCAAACTCCTGGGGCTCAAGTGATCTTGTCACCTCAGCCTCCCAATCTGTTGGAATTATGGGAAAAATGCACCATGCCCAGCAGTGATAACCTTAAGAATAAAAATGGAAATCATACCAATATCTCCCAAAGGATATCCATCAACTTTAATTTTTTCCTCCAGTTATAACAATACAGGAGGAAATGAAAGCCCAAGGAAGTTAAATGTGTAGCCCAAACACAAAGACGAACAAAGTTATCTGAGTGTTATATGCTGTATTACCTTGTGCATGATTATCTTTCTCTGAGCAGGTTCAGCCATATCAATCATCTTTTGAACCACATAATTGGCATACTGGTCCTTCATCATGGTGTATAAGGCACTGTGAGGACCATCATTCTGGCAGCAAACCTCGTCAATCAGTAAAGCTCTCTCAGCACGGGAGGCATGAGTAACACACTTTTCTACTACATTGCTAAAAATTAAAGCAGATAAACAAAGCTTTGTTATTTTTTTCTTTACAGCAAAATTCTCTTGACTTTTGAAAGAATTTTCTCCAATGCATGATAAAACAGAAGTCAGGATGGGATTCTCTTGTCTTATGATTATTTTGTTCTTTTTTTTTGAGACAGAGTCTTGTTCTGTAACCCAGGTTGGAGTGCAGTGATGCTATCATGGCTCATTGCAGCCTTGACCTCCCTTGCTCAAGTGATTCTCCCACCTCAGCCTCCCTCAGAGCTGAGACTATAGACATGTCCCATGCCTGGATAATTTTTTGTATTTTTTTAGAGAAAGGATCTCCGCCTATGTTGCCCAGGCTGATCTCAAATTTCTCAGCTCAAGTGATCCTCCTGCCTCGACCTCCCAAAGTGCTCGGATAACACCTGTGAGACACTGCACCTGGCCAATTACTTTTATAACAGAAATTGGTATCACGGAACAACCTACATCATTTTGACATCCACAAGTTTAATTATAGGCCTCTTAAAATTGTACTTCAAAAAAAGGAAATCAGGTCATTAGAGTTGTGAGGCTTTCAAGAACACACACTAAATACATTTGCATGTCCGGTGTTGGGAAAAACTATTTTCCAAATACACATTTTATAAATAAACATATGTGGACAAAACAGATTTGTTATGTATATTTTTAAAAAAATAAAAGCAATGGGGTCAGGCGCGGTGGTTCATGCCTCTAATCCCAGCACTTTGGGAGGCCAAGGCAGGCCAATCACCTGAGGTCAGGAGTTCAAGACCAGCCTGGCCAACATGGTGAAGCCCTGTCTCTACTAAAAATACAAAATTAGGGCCGGGTGCGGTGGTTCATGCCTGTAATCCCAGCACTCTGGGAGGCCGAGACGGGTGGATCATGAGGTCAGGAGTTTGAGAACAGTTTGGCCAATATGGTGAAACCCCACCTCTACTAAAAAATACACAAAAATCAGCCAGGCATGGTGGTGAGTGCCTGTAGTCCCAGCTACTCGGGAGGCTGAGGCAGGAGAATTGCTGAAACCCGGGAGGGAGAGGTTGCAGTGAGCCGCGATCACGCCACTGGAACCCAGGAGGCAGAGGCTGTAGTGAGCCAGTGAGCTGAGATCATGCCACTGCACTGCAGCCTGGGTGACAGAGTGAGACACTGTCTCAAAAAAAAAAAAAAAAAAAAAAAAAAAAAAAAAAAAAAAAATTAGCTGGGTGTGGTGGTGTGTGCCTGTAATCCCAGCTACACAGGAGGCTGAGGCAGGAGAATAGCCTGAACCTGGGAGATGGAGGTTGCAGTGAGCCAAGACTGCACCAATGCACTCCAGCCTGGGCAAAATGCAAAACTCCATCTCAAATAATAAAAATAAAAGCAATGTTCTACAGATGTGTTTTAATGACACCAAAAAAAGACTACAGTTTAATGCTACATTCTATATGTATTTCTGTGATAACTAATAAAAGTCACTGAGATGAAAGCACTGACTCCTGGAATTAGAAAGTATGGGAATACCTGGCAAATTTGTGTTGACTCAGGGCTAAAACCTTTCCTCTGATCTCGGAAACAATTTTGCTCTTGTCTTCAGGTCGACCGTGCTCCAGTACATGCTGAATAACATAATTTCCGTACTGATCCTAAGGACAGATATTTAAAAATTACTTTTCCTAAGTCATTCCTTAAGAATGATGATGCTTTAAAGACATGTTAATAATTTTGGCTAAAAATCCAGTAGTATATAGTTAGGAGAATACAACAGGCTTTTGTCTCACTCTTTCTATAGTGTGTTTAATAACAAATTATATTTCTTTTAAAAATTAAAACAATTTCCAAAAATATATAAAAAATAAAAATATATAAATATTTCAAATTGTTAGGGAATTTATACCTGTACCAACTGCTCTGTATGTTGGTGGAGTTCTTCTAAGATAGGTAAGGTCTGTTCTGCAGTGCAATGCTCTAGGATGCGCTGAATTACTCTGCAGCCATAAGGATGAGTTGAAAGCACAAATACCTGAGGACAATTAGAAGAATTAAAATTTGTATTCTCTGACATTTTTAAGCAGTTTGTTGAAGCAGACTGGTTTTCTGAACAACAAACACCTTAAAGTAGTTTAAAATAGAAGGGTGATGAGCTCACATTTAATATGACTACCACCATGTTAGCAAAGACTGGAGAGTGAGGAGAGAGCACTCCATTTAGGAGCTGAAGATACTTTGATCAAAAGGAATCTAACCAGAGCACTGAAGTTATATAACGATGAGAATGAATGGGCAAAAAGAGAAAGGGTAGTTTAGCATTAAGAACTATTAATTACTATGTATTAGTTACAAATTGCTATGTATTTTCTGTCTTATTATACAGTCAGATATTCTCCAAACTTCCTTCCCTTCTCTGAGAAAACCTGAAAAACATTGTTGGGTGTAAATAAAAAATAATTCTACCAGTGATTACCTTTACTTCTTACAGTAATGTCATTAAACTCTTATTTCTGTTTTACAGCTTCAGAAAAATGAAGCTATCTACTGCCTGTGGAAAAGGAAGAAATTAATGTACATTTATTGTTTGTATCCTATTTTTGTATGCAAGTGCTGGGTATTATCTAGTGACTTATGAAAAATGTGTTGATATTCGAAATTCTAAAATAATGCCTGCTAACAAATTATAAGCCAAAACTCAAACATACTTGTCCCTTGAAAGCATCAATGATGAACTGCAGTGACTGTGGCTGAACACATTCGATACATTTTTGTACAACATGGTTTCCATTTTGATCTTTCACACATTTCAGCACATGACCATCCAGCTCCTTTACCATTTCACTCTGCAAAAGATAGGATGTTATTTAAATAATTACCTCAAATGAGAAAATATTAGTACATTTTAACTCAGTACTAAAAATTAAAAATCTCAGTGTATTTATCTCAGGATTAAAAATACTGAGATGAGAACAAAAATATATTCTAAAATATTGTTTCCTGTTTGTCAAGAGTTTAAATTTTTTCTCTTGTAGTATAATTAGCAGAAACCACAGAAAAGTGAAAATTACTAAAACATACGGCAGGATTATAGTATAAATGATGTATGTTGAAACAACCTAGTGATACTGAATTTGCTATATTTAAACTGTCTTCACCGTGTAAATCATCCAATAATATTTAGCAGGTGGTAACTAATATGACTAATTCAGAATTCTATACTTTTGCTTTACTTAGTATCACCTCCACCACCAAAGGAATTATTTTTAATGGCTGAGTGAGTTTATCAAGTACATAGAAAACGATAAGGAGTTGGCAACTATTTATGGGCTTTGTGATTTTTACATATTATCTCAATAATTCCCTAAGGGAAGAATTAACGTCGGACATCTTTGTTCTTTTTTAAAATGGTCTTATAATAACTTATGGCCAGGTGCGGTGGCTCACACTGGTAATCCTAGCACTTTGGGAGCCTGAGGTTGGCAGATCACCTGAGCTTAGGAGTTTGAGACCAGCCAGGGCAATATGGTGACACCCAGTTACTACCAAAAATACAAAAACTAGCCAGACGTGGTGGCGCATGCCTGTGGTCCCAGCTACTTGGGAGGTTGATGTGGGGATTGCTTGAGCCTGGGAGGTGGAGGTTGCAGTGAGTTGAGACCGTGCCACTGCATTTCAACCTGGGTGACACAGTGAGAGTCTGTCCCAAAACAAAACAAAAAAACTGTAAAACTTTATATAGCTTTTAATATTGATAAAATAATCTGGGTGCCTTATTAAAGCAATAAAAAATCGTATTGTGGAGAAATGGAGTATACATAGTCAATCTAAAGGCATTCTTATTTAAAATACCTTTCACCCAAAGGACTTTCAACTACATTTTGAAGTAACCATGGTGAATCCTGTTAAGTCAGGCTGTATTACAGATGTTTAATTTTATTTATTTATTATTATTTAATAGAGACGAGATTTCACCATGTTGGCCAGGCTGGTCTTGAACTCCTGACTTCAGGTGATCCGCCTGCCTTGGCCTCCCAAAGTGCTGGGATTACAGGTATGAGCCACCACGCCTGGCCAATACAGATGTTTAATTATGAACTAAAATCACTGGGTGCCATGGCTCACACCTGTAATCCCAGCCCTTTGGGAGGCTGGGATGGGCAGATCACCTGAGGCCAAGAGTTTGAGACCAGCCTGGCCTTCCTGGTGAAACCTCATCTCTACCCACCCCCCAAAAAATTAGCTAGTTGTGGTGGCTCATGCTCATGGTCCCAGCTACTCAGGCGGCTGAGGCATGAGAATCAACTGAACCTAGGAGGCAGAGGCTGTGGTGAGCTGGGATCGTGCCACTGTACTCCAGTCTGGGAGACAGAGTGGGAATCTGTCTCAACAAATAACTAAAATGAACTAAATTACAAAATAAAACATGCTTAAGAATCCAAAGGCCAGGTGTGGTGGCTCATGCCTGTAATGCCAGCACTCTGGGAGGCCGAGGTGGGCAGATCACAAGGTCAGCAGGTCAAGACCAGCCTGGCCAACAGGTTAAACTCCATCTCTACTGAAAACACAAAAATTAGCTGGGCATGGTAGCGCATGTCTGTAATCCCAGCTACTTGTGAGGCTGACGTAGGAGAATTGCTTGAACCTGGGAGGCAGAGGTTGCAGTAAGCCGAAATTGCCCCACATTCTAGCCTGGGCAACAGAGCAAGACTCTGTCAAAAACAAAACAAAACAAAACAAAACAAAAAAAATACTATTATCCAATAACAGTATCAACAAAGTCTTACTCCTAATGCTTTTATTTTTAAATATCAAAGACATTTAAAAAATATCTATACCAGTTAGAAACTTGTGGCAGAGAAGTTCTAACCTTTTAAATAATCAAATGTGTTAATATTTCTCCATTGTGACATATCTTCAAATTACTCTAAAACTCACATTTCCTCTGAAGAAATAATAGTATTTTCTCACAGATTTTTAATGCAGTGATGAATATATACACATATATAGCCATTCATATATATATATTACTATTTATTGGAATTTACTTTCATTGCATGAGTCAAAGACAATCTCTTTCGAAAATTAAACTACCATTACCTTTTGAGAAATAATTATTTCCTTCAGTCTTATGCTTTCATTGTAATACATAAATCAGGCAGTCAGAAAACAGTATTTATTTGGGGCTAAAAAATTTCTTATTAAAAGTCTGTTTAATCTTATACAATAACCCCACTAATTAATTAGTGTTGCTTCAAAGTGTATTTTAAAAATCTGGTGAATTTATCTTCATCCCCTACTCTCAATATTTTTGTGTATTTCAAATGATTTTAAGCATTATTTTGGTCAATTAGGGAAAAAAAAAAGTCCCAGGAGTACATGATTAGAATTGCATTATTCCTTTATTAATGAAAAATATTTAGATTTTCAATCCAATCACACAGAATATTTCTCATTTATGTGTTTTTTCCTCAAAAAATTATAAATTTGTTAAGAGAATTCTTAAGTTACTTTTCTGCTGGGTTATGTTTTTTAAAAAACATTTTCATATACATATAAACAAAACTGACATATAGTAAATGCTACTGGTTCTAAAAGTATTATTCTAACAGAAACATTAGACAGCATCAAAATAAACACTAGAAAATAGTAACATTCATTCTCACATTGTAGAAAATCATGTAAGCAAGTGGTAATAAAAACACATCATTTAGCATTCTGCTTGACACATAAGTGCCAAAATATCTTCATTTAGAAATTACTTTGTGACTTCTAATTAGTAATGTGCTATTTAGGACACAGTAACAATATTTTAATCTAGTTGTGAAAATATTTAAGTTATTTCACTTCAAGATTATTGTAAGATTAAACATGTAATAATTTAAAAATTGAATAAAATAATACAAAATTTTGTCTTAACTTACAATTACCTGCTGGTCAGATGAAATAGATTCTAATGCTTTCTGAATAACTCGGCAGCCATACATCTGCAAGGCTAAGGGTAGAACGTGACCACGAATACGAGTAGCCAGGGCTAATTTTTGATCCAGACTCCCAAACTGACAGAAAAGAATATTGCTTTGTTAAACCTAAGTTAGTGTTTATAGTCTATTCAATCTATTAGTAATTGTATAGGACAGGGGCTTTAAAGTAGAAGCTAATTAAGATAGACCAGAAGATGTTTGCAGTAGTAATTTTATTACTTTTTTTGGTTAAGTCTTATTAAATTTCCTTGTTACTAATATGTTAACCACCTTCTAAAGTAACACTCTTTTAAAGTGAACGCCTTCACAAACTCTTCATTTTAAACATGTAATTCTTTCCTAGCCATACGATGACCACCAAAACTCTCACTCAGATAATCAGCAAACTACATTCTGATGTGATTGAGATAAAAACCTGTGAACTCCAGCTACAACACAGATGTTTATATATTTAAACACTGGCCAAATTGTAAAGTAACACACATCTATAAATCCAAATAAAGACTATAGTGTTATTCATTAACTACTTCACCAAAGATTTACTACCAATGCTTTATATTGTCAAATATGAATTGGGATTAATAGCAAATTTCATTTAAAGTGGTTCATATGTTAACCTTTTTTTGTGACAAAGTATGTCGTTTTAACCATTTTTAGGTAGTTAATTCAGCAGCATTAATTATATTCACACTATTGTGCAACCACCATCACTATTTGTTTCCAAATCTTTTCCACAGCCTCAAACATAAATGGTAACTGTCTAAACCCTTCTTTCCCTAGGCCCAGTAAGCCCTAATCTACTTTATGCCACTATTAATTTGGTATTCTAGACATTTCATACTGGTAGATTACTATGTTTGTCCTTTTGTGTGTGGCTTATGTCACTTATTATTTTCAAGGTCCATGAATGTTGTACTATGTATCAGAACTTCATTACTTTTTATGGCTGAATAATATTCTATAATGCACATATATACCACCTGCATTTATCTATTCATCTGGTGATGGACACTTGGGTTGTTGCCACCTTTTGGCTATTGTGAATAATGATGCAATGAATACTGGTGTTCAAGTTCCTGTTTTCAATTCATTTGGATATACCCCTAAGAGCACAATTCTGGGTTGTATGGTAATTCAATATTTAATTTTGAGAAACTGCCACACTGTTTTCCACAGAAGCTACACCATTTTATATTTCCACGAGCAATTTATGAGGGCTTTAATTTCTCCATACCCTCATTTACATTTGTTATTTTCCCATTTTATGTTTTTTGATGACAGCCGTCTTAGTCGGTATAAAGTGCTATCTCACTGGGAGATTGACCTACATTTCTCTGATTAGTAAGGATGCTGAGCATCTTTTCATCGCCTATTTGGCCTTTCGTATTATTTTATATAGAGAAATGTCTATGCAACGCCTTTGTCCATTTGTCATTTGGGTTGTCTTTTTGTTGTTGACTTTTAGGTGTTCACTATACATTCTGGATAAAATCTTTACCAGATATATGATTTGCAAATATTTTATCCCGGGATTATCTTTTTTTATATGAAAACTACTTTACCCAACTTTCAGAGCTCTTCTCAGCATCAAGTATGCAGCTAAATGGGTGAATATACAAATATACATGCATCCTTACCTCAAAAAACTTCTGTATAACATAGTTGCCAAAAACATCAGTCATTAATTGATAGGCTGCCTGCAGAATTTCATTAAATACCATCTGTCGCTCAGCTGGAGTAGCTCTCTCTAGTTTTTGCTGTATGAATCTACAAGAGAAAAATATTTTAATATGACAATATGTCTTTTAATACTTTTACTTGAGTATTACACCTAACCCTTCCACATACATGTGCTGAAAGTTATTTCCAGAAATATTAGCATATTTTATATGGTAGACAGCTAACTTATAGCAAAAAGGACAAAAGTTATATAGCACTTCTTTATAACACCTTATCTACTAGACAGAGTGACAAAAAACCTGGATAAAAAGATGTTTAATCTTTCTTAGGTTGGTTTGATTTCATTATAATCAATTAAAAATTATATAAATCTTGCTGGTTATTCATTTATTTTTCATAATATACAATGTATTACTAAATATCTAACTTTTAGAACATAATAAAGGAAACCCTTAGAAATAAAATTCATCCAACATGAATGAATTCCTAACCAAACTAGCCATTCTGGCTGATACAAGGCTCATTTGTTACTCCAAAGGAACTGCCAACTACAAGGCATTGTTAAGCAATAACTTGCTTAACAACATTTTAACTGACAGGCACATAAACGATGGTGGTCCCATAAGATTACAATGGAGATAAATTGTTATGGGGTAGAAACTGTCATAACATCACAGTGCAATGTATTTATCAGGTATTCATGATGTGACATAAGCCTACTACACTGTCAGTTTATAAAAGTATAGTATGGCTGGGTGTAGTGGCTCACCTGAGGTCAGGAGTTTGAGACCAGCCTGGCCAACATGGTGAAACCTTGTCTCTACTAAAAATATAAAAATTAGTCGGGCATGGTGGCAGATGCCTGTAAGCCCAGCTACTCAGGAGATGGAGGAAGGAGAATCCTTGAACCCACAAGGTGGAAGTTGCAGTGAGATTGTGTCACTCTGCACTCCAGCCTGGGCAACCAAGAGACACTCCATCTCAGAAAAAAAAAAAGTATAGTACATATAATGCATACAGTGCATATTTGATAATAAACAACTAATTTACTGGTTTGTGTATTTAGTGTACTTTTTATTGTTATTTTACGTGTACTCCCCTCTACTTATTTAAAAAAAAAAAAGTAAAACATCCTCAGGCACATCCTTCAGAAGGTATTGAAGAAAAAGGCACTGTCATAGGAGATGACAACTCCATGGGTGTTGCTGCTAAAGATCTCCAAGTGGAATAAGACATGGAGTTAGATGAGAGTGATACTGATGATATTTATTCTTTATAGGCGAATGTGTGCATTTGTCTCTTAGTTCTTTTTTTTTTGAGACGGAGTTTCACTCATGTTACCCAGGCTGGAGTGCAATGGCGCGATCTCGGCTCACCGCAACCTCCGCCTCCTGGGTTCAGGCAATTCTCCTGCCTCAGCCTCCTGAGTAGCTGGGATTACAGGCACGCGCCACCATGCCCAGCTAATGTTTTGCATTTTTAGTAGAGACGGGGTTTCACCATGTTGACCAGGATGGTCTCGATCTCTTGACCTTGTGATCCACCCGCCTCGGCCTCCCAAAGTGCTGGGATTACAGGCTTGAGCCACCGCGCCCGGTTGTCTCTTAGTTCTTAACAAAAAGTTTTAAAAATCTGTAAACAGCCGGGCGTGGTGGATCACCTGAGGTCAGGAGTTCAAGACCAGCCTTGCCATCATGGTGAAACCCCATCTTTAAAAAAAAAAAAAAAAAAAAAAATCTGTAAACAAAAAAATCTTATAGAATAAGGATATAAAGGAAATATTTTTGAATAGCTGTATGTACAATGTGTTTCTGTTCTAAGTTAAGTGTTATTACGAGAGTAAGTTAAAAAAAATTAAAAAGTTCAGAGGTTACAGTAAACTCAGCCTGGGCAACATAGTGAGATCTTGTCTCTACAAAAAAATTTTAAATAATTAGCCAGGTGTGACGGTAAGTGCCTGTAGTCCCAGCAAGTTGGGAGGCTTAGCTGGGAGGACTGCTTGAGCCCAGGAGATTGAGGTTGTAGTGAGTGATCATCATGCCACTGTATTCCAGCCTAGGGAACAGAGTAAGACCCTGTTTCAAAGAGGGGAAAAGTTACATTAAGGTTAATTTATTACTGAAGAAAAAAAGTTTTAAATTAATTCTGTGTGGCTGAAGTGTATAGTGTTTATAGTCTAGAGTAGTGTATGGTAATGTCCTATGCCTTTACATATACTCACAGCTCACTCACTGACTTATCTGGAGCAACTTTCAGTCCTGCAAGCTCCATTCATGGTAAGTACCCTACACAGGCATGTGATTTTTTAATCTTTTATACTATAGTTTTGTTGTATCTCTTCTATTGTTTATTATGCTTAGGTATACAAATATTATTATGTTACAAATGCCTACATTATTCAGTCCGGTAATATGCTGTACAGATTTGTAGCCTAGGCGTAGATGTGTAGCAGGCTATGTCATCTAGGTTTGTATAGGTACACTCTATGATGTTCACAAAACAACATGTTTTCTAGAATGTATCCCCATCATTAAGTGATGCATGACTACAGGGAGATAACATTTGTATGCCATCTAACCTAAAATGACTTTTAAAAACTTCAGGTTTATCTTAAAGCTACAAAAACAGAAAATATCTTAAATTTACTAAATGTGTTACAATTCTACTTTCCTTTCCAAGCTATCTTGAGAATGTTAATTCAGATGTATCTCTCATGCATTACATCTGTTTTAATGTAAAAAGGTACCAAGTTTTCCTATAACAAATGTGAAATATTTTGATCTAAGCCGAGTCACACTTGAATACCAACCTATAAAGCAATACAAAGGCATTTAACATGTTTGCCATGTTTTTTAAACATACCACGAGGGACACTTAAGCCCACAAATGTAATCAGAGCTGATGTAATAAAAATAACCCAACGAAGGGGTCCCTGCTATATTCTCATCATAACAATATTCTCACTGTAAAAAACTGGAAAACTATAAAAAATAAAAACCTGCGTTTCTATAATTTATCTTAACATGAA